AATGGATGGAAATGAAATCTGTTTCCTGTTTTTAACAGTTTCATCTGAAACATGACGAAGGAGGCAGCTCCTGGTTTGTTGTTGTTATTCATCTTTAAAGAAGAAGAAGAGTAAAGCGACACTTCCTGTTGGAAACCTGGAGACTCACCCGTCAGCACTGTGGACCGGGCTGCTGGAGCAGAAGGGAGCGTTGAACTGTCTCGAATCCTCAAAACTGCGATTATCTGAACAACACAACAACAAACACACACACGTGGTCAGACCGTGCACGGCGTTTCTTTTCTCCAGCAGCTGACGGGTGCAGGCGTCGGGCGTCGGAGCGACGCAAATAGAAAATGGTGCATTCGAAATGCAACAAAAGGAGAAAAATGTTTGGTTGCAGTGACACACAAACGTTCAGGGGAAATAAAAAGAAGTGTCTTGGTGTTTCGGAGAGACTGTGCTGGTGTTTGGTGCAGAGACGCTCGCGGCTTGTTGCCGCGGAAACGCGCTTACCGTGCTCTCCGTCGTTAGAATCAGAGTCTAGCGGCAAGAAAAGACAGAAAGCAAAGGAAGAGGAAGGAGAAGAGGAAGAGGAGAGGATGTTTGGAGGAGGAGGAGGAGGAGAGAGGGAAGACAAACTTGAGTGCAGAGCCAGAAGAGACAGATGTGAGCAGCAGGGGGCGCCAGAGACTAATAACTCGATGCACCTTTAAAATGTTCATCGGGACGATCGTGTGAATGAATGATATCTGATGTGAACTGACCTGATCCGGCCTGATGATGCGGCTTCAGTCCCAGCGTGGACAGAGGCGTCTTGGTCAAACCTGCAGGAGAACGAGCTTCACACAAAAAGACAGGAAGTCACATTTAAAGCAAAATAAAAAGAACTAAATGTAAATAAAAACAGGAAGAAGAGAGGACATGCAGTGAGTGTGAAATGAGAAAATCTAATGACTCATGAAAATGAATGTTTGAGTTTGAACTATTTCACTGTGTTTTCTTGTATTTATTGATTTAAAGGCTAAATCCAATGTTTCTTTACGATCACCTCCGATCATCAGACGTTTACCCGGACATGTTATTTGCTGTTTTACTTTCAGGAGAGATTTAAAAAGAGCAGGAGAGATTTAATCAGGACACGGAGGTAAAGAAACGAGCCAATGAGAGCGAAGAATGTCATGAGTCACGAGACAATGACCACGGCTGCGTCAGCGACACGCGGTGAAGGTTCAAACACGTGTTGATATGGACATGTGTTGGTGGAGGAGACATCAGAACTGAAGGGTTGTGAGTTTCTGACGTCAGCGATGAAACAGTTTTACAGATTCGATCCACGATCGGAACAAAGTCTTCAGCAGCGTCACGTCGGGGATTCAGGTTCATGTTCGGGGCTGATGGAGGATGAGGAGGGTGGACATGACGTTTAGTGCCACAGAGTCTTACTGCAACAGCTGATCGGGGGGGGGGCTCCTCTTTACATTTCTGTACATTTGTTTCTCTGAGTAGAAGCTTGACAGTTTGACTGATGATCCTCGGCCTCTCATTCAAACACACTGATTTGCACACGCCTGCCGGTGAAGCATCACTTGTGTTTTGCCTCAAACAAACACGAGTCGTGAGAAGTTGTTTACATGTTGGACAGATAAGGACAGACAAGATAAAATAAGACTTGAATAAAAGCTTCTGTTGAGACAGTGTTGTCCTGTGATTAATAATTTAGCTTCCTGACGACCATTAAACTCAAGTCTCTTTCTCCATTGTTGAATTTTACCATGAGATTTGATCTGTTGAGTCCGTGGTTTGTTTTTTAAAAAGTTCTTGGAACTCATTTCGACCGATCAGACTTTTAATGATATCCCATGTTTGTTTAAAGTTCATTAATGTGTCTGTGTTTCAGCGTCGATCTGTGTTTTAAAGCTTGAAGAATGACGAGCTGAAGATGTTCAGATCTCCTCCCCTCGGTTGTGATTCCTGGTTTCACCCAGAATCCTTCACTCCATGCAAATACTTGTAAACTCCAGCGTCAACGTGTTTAAAACTCCCTCACATCTCTGGCGTCCCGCAGCCATGGATCCGACGTTCACCTGCCTCCTGCTCCTGCTCAGCTCGTCTTCTGCAAAGTACGTCTACGTGGAGCAGAGGACGAGCTGGCCTGAGGCTCAGAATCACTGTCGGACGCACTACACGGACCTGGCTGCCGTCAGCAACAGACAGGACACGGAGCGACTCCAGCAGCTCGCCGGTGAGATCGGCGGTTATCTGTGGATAGGGATGGAGAGACACTCCACAGACAGTGGGAGGTGGATGTGGTCGGGCGGGGGTGAGGTGTCTGTGTTTTTCTGGGCACCGGGGCAACCGGACAACCGACTGAATGAGCACTACAGTGTGATTCAAATGAGCGGGTGGCACGACGCGAGGCCGCTGCTCTACACGCTCCCCTCCTTCTGCTTCAGGGTGGTCGTGGTGAGGCAGAGGAAGACGTGGGAGGAGGCTCTGGTCCACTGCAGGGAGCATCACCTCGACCTGGCCAGCGTGGCCTCGGACACGGAGATGCTGCTGATCCAGAGAGAGCTGGAGAAACACGTCACCACCGAACGCGTCTGGATCGGTTTGCGTTTCTTCCCCGGGGGCTGGCAGTGGGTGGACGGGCGGCCGCTGGAGTACGAGGCCTGGAGTGAGGAGATCAAACCTGCGTGTCCTCGACTCACACTGAGCTGTGCTGCTTTGCAGGTGATGGGACGAGCGGCGGGTAACGCGGCGGAGCTCGCTAACGCCACCGTGGGGACAGTTGGCAGCGGTGCAGCGATGAACACTGCAGCAGGTGTCGGAGCCGACGCGCTCGGAGCGAGTTCTGCAGCTGACGGAAGGAATCAACGTGTGTGGGAGACTCATGACTGTGAAGACAGACTCCACTTCATCTGCTACTGACGTCGTGTTGTAGAAATATCTTTTAGTTTGAGTTTGATAGTTTAAAAGTCATATTGAAGAAACTTTTTGAGTTTTTGAGAATAAAGTCTCAACTTTTTTCCTCCTCATAATATACTTTTTTCAGTTTTCTTTTCTTGTAATATTAAA